CATACGAGCCCCAAACTGAAAATAATTCAGATGTCCTCTGGGGTGACGGTTAAACAGACTTCGGTACTCTGCTCATTCCCAGGGTTTTCTGGTTCATCCCCTGCTGCCATCGTGTGGGGGTGACATCTGTAGTTCAGACTGCCTCATGGCTTCACTCTTGGGCTGGTCTGACCACAGCCAAGATCAGAGGTGACGTCTGTCTGCATATTCTTGAGACTGGTGGGAGGTGCCCCAGAGTCTCCTGTGGGCACCAGTGCCAGGGGCAGCTCCAGTCCTTGAAAGGTGTGACAGTTACAGTGTTAGCACTAATGGGGTGGGCTGGGCAGGAATGAATTACCAGGACCTGTGATGGAAAAACAGGCCAGTTCTGCAAGAACCCAGCCTGAGAGAGTCAGTCAGTGTGTTATGTCATCAGTGTCAGAGGTGAGAGTGTGGAAAAGTGACTGCTGTTTCTACAGGTGTGAGTGGTGGTTAATGACCCCCTGTTTTAGAACAATTAAATTATTTTCATTACTAATAAATGGACATATGATTTAAAAAATAAATTATAATGATCCCCCTGCAGGGTAGAATTCCTCATGCCCAGGCCCTCCCACTCTCCAAGAGGCTTTACCAGGTGGTCTCTGCTGCCCCCTGGTGGCCTCCCCACACTGGCTGCAGGGGGAGCAGGTGTGTGCTCTGTCCAGGTGCAGAGTCTGAACCCACTGCTCAGGTGGTAACTTCCTGATCCAGGAACCATGGGTCCCAGGGGTATTGCTGTTCTCTCTATAACCACTACCGGCCTCAAGACCAGGCAGAGGAGGCTCAGAAAACTCATAAAAGTATGAGCAGGCTCATTGGGAGGAGGAGAGAGCAGGGCCAACCTGAAGCATCTCTGACATGTCCCTGGGGTTGTGGTTCCATTCTGGGCTCTCATGGGGAACAAAGGATTTGGGGACTTTGTCTCACTGATGCCATTGCTAGTGCAGGTTAAAAACAGGGCTCTGGTGGCATCTGCCCCAAACACTGAGACAGGAGACGCCCACCCAGCAAACACCGATTCAGCCCCACTGTGTCTGCCAGACACTGCATCCCAGGTGAGACGTGTGAACGGGGCCAGTCCTGCCTCACAGATGCCAGTGTGCACATGGGAGCACACAGTGGACACGCTGGTGTGGGTGACACAGCACAGTCACTGTTGCCTTCTTCCTGTATGTTGTCTTTTTTTCCCCAAGAAAACTGCATCCAGGTTTATTAAAGATACTTTTCTTAAATAATCCTGGGGTTTCAGGCAGGATGTGGACAGACAACCGTTAACTGTGCACAAGTCTCACCCTCCGTCCTCAGTGCACTGACCACCCAGAACGTCGCTGTGACCCCAGTGACGTCCTCGTCTGCTGCCCTGAATGGGGAGTGTTTAGAGTGAGGGTCAACTTCTCACACTGGCATGTTGTTTAGTAGCTTTTCACAGGCCGACCCTGACTTTCAGGCATGGCCGGGAAGAAAGTGGGAAGGACTCGGGACCTCACAGGGTGGTGAGTGTCTGCAGACACCCGTCGGGCCCCAGACTTGTTGTTGCAGGAGGAAAAGGGGCTCCTGTCTGCCCACATCTCTTATTGTCCTGTGTATGTTTGAATTAAAAAATATCCTGACTAATGAGGGAAATAATAGCAGAAATCAATGAATCAATCAAGTAAGCAATCAATAAAAATAATTACAGGGTAATAATTATGCAGCTGTTGTAGTATTCAGTTAATTAGCTGAGATCAACAAGAATGGACAGGCAGGTCCTGTGTGGGGAGAGGCTGGAGGGGTGTCTCTGGAGGGGACCCTGGAGCTGCCATCAGGGTGGGAAGAGGGAGCAGGAGGAGGAAGTGAGTGTGAGGACAGCAGGGTCAGTGTCCTGGGGGGAGGGTGTGGTCTGTCTGGGCAGGAAGGACAGTGAGAAACTAAGGGGGTTATGGTCCAAACCAGGTCGGCCCAATGTGACCTGAATCTGTCACATTAAGGGATGAGGGGCAGGACTGATGTCACACTGAGCACACACACCTGACCCAGGAGTCAGAGCAGCTGAAGGGGGACCCAGGGGAGGGAGGAGCCACTGCACTGTGACACCCTGTCCTGTGTGAGTGAGGTGAGTGAGCAGGTGACCCACAAGAACTGTCACTACACAGGGGCTGCCTCTTCCCCACTGGTTTGCACAGGAAGTCACACGGGACCTTCTCTCCTGATTCAGGGAATTCTGACAACACATCACTCCTGCTGCCCAAGTTACGACCTTGTGAGAAACGTCACATTGGACCTGAACTGGGTGTGAGTGAGACACCTGAGTTTATCATAACACGTTCCTCTTCCTTTCAAATCTTTGTGGTAACATTTTCATATTTATACTTTATCATATATTATGAAATACAACACAAATTGTTATAGTGTTTTTGCATTGAGTAATGATATCTGTAATGGAATTTAATGTGGGAAATTGTTTCATATTTATACTCGTGGTAACGATACCTGATGCTATTAAATTCTCTGTACGGATTCCTGTTTCTCTGTGTCTCGGGCGTGTCCTCTGCTCTTTCTGGTTCAGAACGTCTGCAGGTGTCAGTTTTCTAAGTTTCTGTACATCTGGGAAAGTCTTTCTTTGCTTCCTTTTTTGAAAGATACTTTCACTGGGTAAAGACTTGAAAGTGGACAGGTTTTTTTTTTGTCGTTTTGTTGTTGCTTTCAGTTTTCTAGACACTCCTCCTCCCCCTCCCCCGTCTGTGCTGTTCCCAGGGAGGCCCCTGCCCTGATCCCTCTGCTCCGTCCTCTCCGTGGACGGGCCTCGTGTCTCTGAGGCTTTTGTGATTTTCTCGTCAACACTGGGTTTAGGAATTTGGTTGTGATGTGTGTTGATGTTTCCTGTATATTGTTTGATCTTCTCATTCTTGAGCATCTTGAATTGTAGGTCCTCGGTTTTCACTGAAATCAGAATATTTTTGGCCCGTATTTCCTCAAATAATTTTTCTACCCTCCTCCAAAACTCTCTGTTTCAATCACGTTGAAGCAGATGGTGCTCCCTCCCTGCCCTCCAGCTCCTGACGCTCGTGTGTGTGTCTTCACAGAGGTTTTGTGTCTGTGTCTCACGTCCTCTCTGCAGTTCCTCCTCCACATCATCTGTGACTCTCTTTCCTCTGCGGAGATGAACCTGCTGTCAGTCACATTGAGGGTCATTGTGTCTCAGACGCTGTGGTTTCCGCATCTGTGTATTGACTTGACTGTAGTTTTTGTCTTCCTAGTCTGCAATTACTGTGTTCAAGTATTCTTCTACACACTGAAATGAATAGAATAGATATATATTTTTTAAATCTTTGACTACCTATTCAATCATCTCTAAGATTTCATGGCCAGGACAATTGGTTGATTTTGCTGCTTATCATAGCTTGTATTTTCCTGCTTCCAATAAGGAATATTGATGTGACACCAGACTTGGTGAATGTTTTCTTGTTGCGGAATAATACTTGTATTTATATGTACGTTTTGTCTGCTATTCTAGGTTGTTGCAGATTCATTGGAGTTAATGCAGACAGTGTGCTCCTTCATCAGTTGCCCTCACACGTCCGCAGTTGGGACCACAGCAGTGAGGAGCCAGGTGCTAATTTCCGTCCTTGAGTCCCAGCTCTTCTGACAGGTCCATCTGTTGTCCAGATTGGGACTTGTCCTCTTCGACTGCAGCACAAGTGTGATTTCTGATTGTGTGTGTGAGCTGCACAAGTGGCCCTGGGGTCTCTGTATAGTTCTCCTTGGCCTCAGGGGGTTTCCTCTTGAATTGTGGTGATCAGATTCTCTAACTCAGGCAGTGAGACCCCTGGGGGCACATGGGGGATGGAGAACCATGTATGAGGGTTAGGGGTGATCTTTCAGGAGAAAATGTGAGAGGCAAGAGTGGGGACTGGCAATGTGGTGACAATGGACTCAGACGGGAGGCCCTATGAGGTCATCGTGACCCTCAGACCCAATCTGAGAGTGGCAGGCCCTTGAGGGGTCCTTCCTGTCCACCAGGAGCACTTCCCTGAGAGGGCACAGCTGTGAGCTGACAGGACCCAGCATGGGGCGGGGGCTGATGGGTGACTCCTGAGGAGGGGATGCAGGAGGATCCTTAGTGTCCCCTGTACGGGTTTGCTGTGTTCAGAACCCAGGCTTCCAGGACACCCCAGGGCTACCTGAGCTTGGTGAGCTGGGTATAGTTCTGGGAATAAATCCAGGAGAGGTGACTATGAGAGGCCCAGTGACCATTACAAGGATAATTAGTGTCTATTACCATGGATGTGTGTCCTGGTCTGTGTGTCCTTCCACTTATGCTTTTGTCTGTAACTCACATGCAGGCCTTGGAAGCAGCATGTCAGTCCTGTCCTATGAGCCTGAATCCACTGCTGTCCCACCCTCTGCACAGCTGCCTGAGGCTGAGGAGGCGGCCACCTGAGGATCTGAGGTCTGGGGACCTGGGCCAGACCTGCTCTTGGCTTTGTCTCTGGTCCTATTTGTGTCAAAAGGGAGTGTGACACAGATGGGGAAGGTGGTTTTTGTCTCACTTCCCCATTGGCCTGTGTCACTGTGGCATTACCACTGCTGTCCCCTGTTACAGTAATAGTCAGCCTCGTCCTCAGACTGGAGGTTGGAGATGGTCAAGTAGCGGTCGGCCCCAGAGCTGGAGCCTGAGAACCGGTCGGGGATCCCGTCCCCCTTGCTGTGGCTTCCATCACTCTTAACATACATCAAATACCGAGGGGCCTTCCCTGGCTGCTGCTGCAGCCATGCAATGTTGTAGCTGCTGTGCTCACTGCTGAGGGTGCAGGTGAGCTTGGCCGAGGCTCCCGGGGAGGCAGAAGCAGACGGGGGCTGGGTCAGCACAGGATCAGAGCACAGAGACCTGCAAACACAAAACACAGGGATGATGCCCAATGCACTCAGACTGGACAGATGCCCAGTGGAACTGTCCTTGGAGGGAAGCTGGCTCCCTGTGTGTCCAGGGATGCACTGACCTGTGGAGAAAACCAAGGGCAGGAGGTAGAAGGGAGCCCAGTCCATGGTGAGAGAGGCTTCCAGGACCCTAGCCTGAGGCTGCCCAGCTGGCACTGGCCTGTCTAAGCTCCTGTCTTATCCTCTGTCCTTGCAGCTCAAGAGGGAGGAGCATTGAATGCAAATCTGTTCACTGTTGCTCAGCTTGTCTGTCTCAGCCAGAGTCTGGTCCCTGAGCCTAACAGCTTCTTGCCTGTGATTTCCTGAGGTCAGAAAAAGGTCCAGGTGTTGGTTTCATTGTTAAGAATTGATTTTACACAATAGACCTGTCTTCAAAGTAATCTCAGTCATGCCCTTTGCACTTGAGCACATTCAAGGGCACCTAAACCAGAAAGTTTCCCAATCGAGAATCCACAGTGCCCCCTGCTGTGCACAGGATGAAATCATCCTACATGTGTAGCTAGTTCATCAGATGCATATTTCTAAGAACTTAAAGGATGGTTAACCTTGGTGAGTGTTTTATACACAACCCTCACCTGACGTCAAAATAACCTGACATCAGAATAACCCCACAACGTCCCTGAGCTGAAGGTCCAGCCCCTCCTCCTGTCTCATGAGCTGGGGGCTGTCATTGAGAGGTTATGATTTTCCTAGAGTCCCCCAGACAGTGAAGAGGAATCAAGACTTGAATCCAGGAGGCCGACCCAGAGCATGAGTGTTAGGTCCTCTCCTTGCTTCACCCCTCTCTGGGCCGCGTGTCCCTGCGGCCCCCACCCCAGGACCCCTGTTACCACTCTGTTTTTTTTCGCAGGGTGCCGTACCCCAGGAGTCTGCTATGAAGAGCTCTCAGGTCCTCATGTATTGTCACCTGAGCTTCCCAGTGACACGTGGGACTGTCTGTGGGAAACCTGGGGACCCTCCCACAGCTCCCTCCCTGGCAGAGGGCACAGGGTCCCATGTCAAAGGGTCATTGGCATCAGGGGACTGGACAGAGTTCATTTTAGGCTGGGTCTCTAACAGTTTGTGTCAGGGTTGTTTTCTCACATGGTCAGAGCCATTGAGTTTCCATAAATGTCAGTATTGGGATAGAAGCCTTTTAAGTTTACAAAACTGAAAAATTTTACATTTTCAAGACATCACTTTTGTTACCTGATGTCCCAAACAAATACATAAGCTGTCCCCCTGGTGGTGCTGAGGGTGCAGTGAAGTGAGTTCACGTACAAAATGCTGGAGGCCTTGCCCTTGGAGGGGACTGTGCAGCCCTGTGGTGACTCATGTGCGCAGAGAGACAGACAGACCTCTGACTCACTCCTCAGAGATGGTCTGAGGGACAGTGGAGAGGGGACCAGGGTCTGGTGTCTGAGACACGCCTCCCACTGTCCCCAGCTGAGGGGACCACAGCAGCTACTCTCTGCCCTCCCACCCCAAGGTGTCCACTCCTCACACTCACATCTCAGGGACCCATGGGGCCCTCTGGCCCCTCCTGCAGAGCAGTGCTCACACCTGTGTCGTGGTCTGCTGACCACCTGGGAGGTCACCTGTGAGTGCCATCCTGGGAGATTTCACCACCTTCAAACCATGATCCGCACCTGTGAGGTAGGGAATTATATTCCTTTGTGGAGAATAACAAGTGAACATATTTGGCCAGTATTTCCTTAAATAATTTGCATACATTCCACCAAACCTTTCTACTTTAAAGATGAAAATCACATTCATATGAAGCTCCCTCAATGCCCCCAGTTCCTGACGCTCCTGTGTGTGTCTTCACTGAGGTTTTGTGTCTGTGTCTCACGTCCTCTCTGCAGTTCCTCCTCCACGTCATCTGTCCCTCTCTTTTCTCTGCGGAGATGAACCTGCTGTCAGTCGCATCACGGGTCATTGTGTCTCAGACGCTGTAGTTTCCACGTCTGTGTGGTGACTTGGCTGTGGTGTTTGTCCTCCTGGTCTGCAATTACCGCGTCCAGTCATTCTCCCACACCCCGGAACACATGGAGTGCAAATTTCCTTAAAATCCTTGACTAACTATTCAATTATCTCTGAAATTTCATTCTTTTTCATGAGGGAGATTGAAATTTCATGAAGGAGAGCAGGTCCCTGTGCTGCACAGACGGTGCCTTCCTCTGGTGACTGTCCCTGAGCTGTGATGGTAGGTGGACAGGAGTGAAGCCACTCCCAGTGTGGTGCTAGGAGGGACGGTCACACAGGCACGTTCTCAGGCCCACCCTGACCTGCGCAGTGCAGCTGCATCTTAGTCCGTCCCAGGGGACCTGTGTGTTCTGGTCTCAGGCACCATGGAGACTGTCACTTCCCCCTGCTTTGTCCCCAATTCCTTCCAAGGCCACTGCGGTCCTGGTGCTGAACTGTCCTGCCCTCGTCAGACTGAGCTTCATTCAGGCGCTGGATCCCGTGATGTCGTGGAGGAAACTGTTTTACACACAGACACATGGGGGGAGTTTGGAGAGAAGGTGGGATCCCTTTCTCACCTTGGTCTTTGTTATTTTCTGCCCCATTTTGAATAGTTGCAACAGCCATCTGATTTTTCTGGTAGCATCTCTGGAATCTCATTCATTTTAATCCTCAATATTACAGCTTTTCTATCCAGGTTTCCAGTTTGGATATTTTAGCCTCTGAGTCTTCCTTGTCATGTCAAATCATTTGTCCTCCCTTATGATCGGAGTAAATACCGTCACAATCACATTTTCTGTGTCCTAGTCCACAAACTGTGTCACCTGGGCAATTTTAGGGCCATTCTGGATAAAATGGTTTTACATTCATGACAGTCCTGTTTTCCTGATTATTCACAGGAAAGTCTGACAGGGTGTCAGGCAACATGACTGATTCCTGTTGGATCTGGAACACGTGTGCGGCCCCCTGTGTCAGGGACTCCTATCTGGGGTTCAGTGAGTTACTTGGTCACAGGTCAGTCCTGTGTCTACCTGCTCTCACTGACACTTTCTGAGATGCCACCAGTGCAGACCTTGGTTGGGGACTAAGTTCCCCACTGTGGGACATAGATCCTCTGACTGGTCCGCCTGATGCCTGAACTGGGAACTTTCCCCTGACTGGGCACAAGCACTGCAGGCTGGTGTGCTGACCTGTGACCGTCCCCTCCCGTGTCCTTGGGTGGCTCCCTCCTCAGCCTCAGCTGGTTTCCTCCCACATGTGCTCACCCATCTCAGGGGAACATTTGCAGACACCCAGAGTGTCACCTCTGTGGGACCCTCTCCTCTTCCACGTGCTCCCCCTGGGCTGTTATTTCCTCTCTGGGGCCCTGGACACTCCCTCTGACAAGGAGAACCTACTCAGGGGATTTCAGGGGTCTGTCTGGAGGGAAGCTCAGAGGCAAGACCTGGGAACTGCAAAGTGGTGGCATCAGGGGACTCAGGTGCGGGCCGTTACCTCCTTGTGACCTGAGGCAGGGCCTGGATCTTGGCATCAGGTGGTCACAAATGTCAGTCACACTCAGGGAACACAATGACCCTGAGGGAGGCAATTCTCTGCCCCATGGGAGCTTCCCAGTGAGGGCACAGCCATGGTCACCGGGGCTCCAGCAGGGGTGCTGGGTGTGCAGATGCAGGTTGGCCCCAGTCAGAGTCCTGGGCGGCCACGGAGCCTGGGGCCTGTGGAGCTAGGTTGAGCTGGGAGGTTCTAGAGATTAATTCCTAAAGTTCTTCCAAAGAGAGACTCAGTCACCGCGGTGCAGATATTGAAGGGCCATTACTTGTGGACACAGGACCCCAGCAGGCTGTCTTTTTGTCAGTTGCTTCTCCAGGAACTTACACAGCAGCACAGACACAGCAGGCAGCCTGGTCCTGCCTCCCCAAATGCAGCCTGACCCACCCTCTGCACAGCTGCCTGAGGCTGGGAGGAGGGGCCATTGGGAGACCTGAGAAATGGGACCTGGGCCAAAGCTGCTCATGGCTTTGTCTGCAGTCCCCCTGCAGCTTGAGAGAGTGTGACTCCGAGTGAGGTTTTTGTCTCACTTCCCCGTCTGTCTGTGTCACTGTGAGTTTTACTACTGCTGTCCCACACCTGACAGTAGTAGTCAGCCTCGTCCTGGGCCTGGGCCCCGCTGATGGTCAGGGTGGCCGTGTTCCCTGAGTTGGCACCTGAGAATCGCTCAGGGATCCCTGAGGGCCGCTTGCTATCATCATAGATGACCTGCACAGGGGCCTGGCTGGGCTTCTGCTGGTACCAGTGAGCATTTTTACTTCCAATGTTGTCTCCCCCACAGGTGATCCTGGCCGTCTGTCCCGGCTGCACCGACACAGAGGACGGCTGTGTCAGCTCGTAGGAGGACACAGAACCTGCAAGAGAGGAAAGGACGGTGGGTTTAAGGACGAAGGACCCCTTCCCAGGAGACTCTCGCCTGCCCTTCTTGGAGAGATCTACAGGGACTCTCTGGGCCATCAGTCTCAGCCCTAGTAGCCCAGGGGTCCAGCTGACCCATGAAGCCTGTGAAGACATGAGGACCCTCCTGTCCCTTTCTCCGGGCAGGTGCAGCCCCTCAGGCTCACTCAGACCAGTGAGCACAGAGGAAGGTACTGAACCCCATCCCCCCTCCTGCAGTGGAGGGCCTGGGACATCTGGACCCCACAGGCAGTGCCCTGCTGAGCTCAGAGTCAGGGTCAGGTTTGTCCAGATCCCTGGGGTTGGTGGTGAGTGGGAGCCTGGGAGCAGCACCTGTGCAGTGAGCCAGGAGGCCGAGGAGGAGAGGGGTCCAGGCCATGGTGGAGCTGCCCCGCTTCTGCTCCCTGAGGCCCCAGGCTGGGCAGCTTTCCTCCCAGGCCTCTCTTATCCCCTTGCTGGAGGGAGAGCTGCTGGGTATGCAAATCAGCCAGGGCTCAGGGGTGCTGCCTGAGGAGCTGGGTGGTTCCTGATGGGGGTTCAGCCTGGGAGACACTGGGAAGGGAGGATGGGCCATAGAGTCCCACAGTCATTCCCAGGGGATTCTGGTTCATCCCCTGGTGCCACAGTGTGGGGCTGACACCTCTACCCCAGACTGTCTCATGGCCTTACTACTTGTCAGACCTGACCACAGCCAAGCTCAGAGGTGACATCTGTCTGCATGTTCTGCACCCAC